TTGCAAATCATTGTTAAAATAACGTTGCAATACTTGCAGTTTTTTAAGGAGTTATTTCCCCCATAAACAAAATACTACAAATAGTGTTTAGAATATTCATTCAGCCTATAAAAACCAGTTTAAGTAGTAAAACATTGAACTAATTACTAGCAATGCTAGCTGGGAAATTTAAGATGATAGGTAAATCAGACCCTGGAGAAATTTTGAAATAGGCAAAATTTGCATGTGGGACCCATTCCCCCATCTTTCTCTAATCATTTCCCATTTCCACAAAACATAAAGACCATTCAAGCCTGTCTCCTTAAGCCTGCCCTTCTCCAAAGGGCTTCAGTCCATAAAATGTCCTAAAACCTTCCTCTCTCCTCCCCTCTCTTTTGAAAGCCCCACCCAATGCAGCTGATCTGGACTAGAGATAGGAGAAAATCTGAATGAGCTGGTTCACAGCAATATGTGGGTGATGAGTGAAAGACAGCCCCTTAACCCTCCAAAGCTGTACTTGCCATTTTTAAAGAGGCCGTCCTCGTATCCAAAGGACTCTTCAGGCCATGCCTTCTTCCGGCAGTATCAGTGAAGAGCAGGACAAGAGGAGATGTACTGGAAAGGGTCAGAGAGAGGGAACAAATAGGGCAGACCTGCCAGCTGGGAATCCACTCCCAGGATAGATTTTCTAAGTGGTTCTTATTTTTCAAAAGTTCTTCCTCTTCTCCACATCGGAACCCACTAAATCTCAAAAATAAACAAGTGAAAAAGAGCAGGCTTCCCCTTTTCCCCAGCAGGTCCAGCTATGCAGAAGGGGCAGCAGAGCCAGCCCTTCCAAGACTGGTGGTTTCCCCTCTGGACTGTGTCTCTGAGACCATCAGACTGAGGCCAGAGAGGACTGCCCGATGGAGAGGTCGCCTTTCCTGTCTTTCCCACTATCCTCACCTACACCGCCCCCCCCACCCCCCGATCTATAATCTCTCAGTGATTCTTGTCATAACACTGTATGTATTTTCTTGGGTTTTCATAATTTACAATGCCAGAGAATGCTTAACCTTAAACACTTCTTGGAATGATCACTCTTTCTTACCTTAAATGGTTCAACCCCTTACCTGCTTTACCTTTCCTCAGAGTGAGGTCTAATAGCGTCTCCTTTTAAGATTGTGATAATAAATAATGCTTTCATCTTAAATACGAGACATCATCACTTTAAAAGAGTTGGAGCTGAAATTGCTTTCCAAGCATCCCTACAATCACAAAATGAAATCATTTAACTTCAAGGAAAACTAATTTGATTCAGTTCAAATGTTGCTATCTCTCCTTTGGGGAAGAAAAAGAAATTTTAATAATCCACTGGAAATTAGCTATTAAAGATTATGGGTACTTGTTGATTAATACTTTTAAAAATATATATTCTTCAGAGAAATAAAAAAATTTTTTTTTTACAAAATTCCTTCAAGCTAGGCACTTACCCTGTTTTCTCAATTTTAAAACATCTTTCTTCAGAATATAGGGGAAACAAAACAATTAGATTATATGCTTGTTGGGAAGACATAGGAAGTCATATGAAGGGTACTGCTAGACAGGCTGTATGGGGGTTGGTGTCACTTTGAACTGGGGCAGAGGCTGGGGTGGAAATGAAGGTGTGGAGAGTGACGTTGGGCCCACAGTAGTTGCCAGCCTGCCTGCCACCTTACCTTTTTTCTTCAGAATAAAATGAACATAAAGGGGATGGGCTTTTCCACCTGATTGGCCTCCCCATAGGGTAGTTTATGGGTTGGTTCCCTTTTAAAGCACCAGTTGGCCGAGAAGATGCCCCCTTCGGGATGCCCTGAGGACAACTCCAAGTGTTTCCCCAACACTACCAAGCAATTAACTCAATTCTGACACTGTCTACCTGGAAATAGCATTAGATCCCACGGTTAAAGCCTTAGTCCTATAAACCTCCCTCACCCCCTTAGACACCAGTCAGAAGTCCAGGCTGTCACTGGTGCTTCTGACTGATCACCTATATATAGATCAGAGGTTCCCAGAGCCCCCTGTTCAGGTTAGATTAATTTGAAGCAGCTCGTAGAACTCCAAGGAACGTTTTACAAGATTATCAGTTTCTTATAAAAAGATGTAATTCAGGAACCAACAGATGGAAGAGATGCATAGGGCAAGATATGTGGGAAGGTGCTAGAACTTCCATGCTCTCTGAATAAGCCACTCTACCCTAATCTCCACTTGTTCACCAACCAGGAATCTCTCTTTGGGTTTTTATGGAGACTTCTTTGCATAGGCATGATTGATTAAACCATTGGTCATTGGAGATTGAATTCAATCTCCAGCCTCTCTCTGTTCCCTGTGAGGGAGTGGTGGTGGTGGTGGTGGGGAGTGGGGGTGGGGGCGGGGTGGGGGGTGGGGTGGGGGGGACTTGTAAGTTCAAACCCTCTAATTATGTGATTGGTTTCACTGGTAACCAGCCCCCATCCTTAGGGACTTTCCAGAAATCACCTCATGAACATAAACTCAGGTGTGGTTGAAAGGGTTTCTTATGACTATCAAGAATCTTTATTGCTCTTATTTAGGAAATTCCAAAGGATTTAGGAGCTCTGTGCCAGGAAATGTGTGTGTGTTATGATGTAAACGCTTTTCTTGTGGGTGTGGTCGAAATTCGAAAGCCACTGCACTAAAACACCACTAATCTGTCTAAACCTTAGCAAAACCTTAGTATAAGGCATACCTCATTTTATTGTGCTTCACAGATGTTCCATTTTTTTACAAATTGAAGGCAAGATCCTCTACCAGCAAAAATATTATTACTTACTTTATTTTGATTCTAACCTTATTGCCATAGTCTGGAACAGTACCTACAACATCTCCAAGGTATGCCTGTAGTTAACATCCTCACTGCAGGTTTTTATTAACGTTGTCCTCAGATCTGCTGTGGATCCTTCCCATCACATCTCAATCGTACTCAGTGTTGTACTCCATCAAACGGTTGGCAGAGGACTTTTCCTCTACCCTGACATCAGCTGTCTGACGTGTAGCCACAGGAACATGGGTTGACACAACCAAGTCCATGCCCAGGCATTTCGGGAAGCTCATGAGGACATTCCATGCATGACAAAGTGTATATATTAGAGGGATGTCATCATTTAGTGTAAAAGATAACAAAGTCCCTATCTACACCTTGAGCCACTGTTATTTTTCCATCACTAAGTTGTCATGAAATAAGAGACCCTACAATCCACCACACTTTCAAGGATCAATAGAATTGGAAAGAGCACAATCCATCTTATCAACAGCAGCGGTTTCACAGTGAGAGGAAGTTTTGTTAATAGCAGTGGTTACTCTACATGAAGGTCCTGGATTCATGTTAAGGGCCTTTTCAACGATGAATAAGGCTGGGGCTCAAAGTCCAGCAGGCATTTCAGGAAGAACTAGAAAAGGATGCCATGGTAATTAATTCAACATCATCTAGAAAATGTGAACAAAGAGCTGTCTTGGATCGTGTGGTGAAAGTAACTACATTGGTTTGAATCCAGGGATTGGCATTTACTTCTATATATTAACCGAAATGAAAAACATATCCTAGTCTCTGGTCAACTATATGTAACAGAGGAAATGAAAAATTTAGATTCTTATTGAAATGATATCCTATTTTAAAAGAAAAAACATACATAAACTTGGAATATAAGACCCCCCTTGTATTTTAGAGTTGAATTAGCAGAATGAGTGTCCCAAATACTACTTTACTTGTTAGCTTGCTTTCAGGATGTGATACCAGATTCAAGAAGACATCTATAAAAAAGATGGAAGACCCGCGATTTTCTTTCATCTACTGGACATTTTTTCATTGCTGTCCCTGTGGTTGGCATTGTGAACACTAAGGGAACCTTAACTTTGCTGCTAATCCAGGGAGAGGACTATCTTCTTACAGTCAATAGATTGGGAAGCATCTCACTCCCACCTGTTTTGCAAGACTCCCTATCATTTTCTTAGTCTGGGGAAAGCTCATTCTTCAACTTCCAGCTCTAGTTTACCGGGAATGTTTATGTCTATTCATTAAATTTTCCCGAACGATTCTTTTGCAAGAGAGCCCTTTCCAAATCTGTCCTTTCTTTTATAGAATGTAAAATAATTCATTTAAACAGAACCTGGCAGGCAGAAGAACTCAAATGATAGCTAATTATCTATTTGCTCGTTATTTGTTAACACTTTTATGATAGGCTCATTGCTACCAATGTTATACCAATTCACTTCCTTGTTAAAATTATATTTTCCTGACATCAAACTGAGCAGGAATCTTGCCTCTTTTTGAGAATTAAATGCCTAGTATGGTTCTGAAAAAGAGCCACAGCCTTACTGAGGTAGACAGTGCAGAGGGGCCGTGGCAGGATGTTCAGTGACCTTGCCCAAGGGCTCAGCTGGCATGTTGTGTGGCAGGGCTTTGAACCAACTGGCTTAGGGCCTGCACTGGTGGCCACATTGCACACATCCTAAGGAACCAGCTGCTTTAGGAGGTGGAGCGCTAGCACAGACAGGTGATACCGAGCCTGTAAAAGTGGACACCAGACTTACGTCATCTCTGCCTCTAGCTCTTTCTGGCCTCAGGCAGGTCGCAACTTCTCCAGACTTTGATTTCTTACCCAGAAAGAGAAGAAAAGGAAAGAAGATATTTTGTCAAATGATCTCTTTATCTTTTAGCTCAGACTCTGAACCGTTTTTTGTGAACCATCAGGAAAGAGGGAGGAGAACAATGTTAATAGCCCATCATTAAGGAAAAGGAATACATGCTTTTCAGGATGAGTTTTCGATGTTCCTAAAGGAATCAGGAAGGGCCAACAGTAACAGATCCACAGAATGGCTGGGGAAGATCCAAGAAAGAAAAAGATGAGAAACTGGATATGATGTTCATCTGGAGAAGTAAAAGCAAAATCAATACCAAACAAAGAAATTGGGGGAAAGAAAGATATAGATTTGGGGCTCCCCCACAAATAACGTAGAGTATCTTACCAAAATTTCTTTCACTTCAGAATGAAGAAATACTTGAATGCAGTCATGATGGGGAGCAGGAGCAGCCCGACAGTCCTGAAAATCTTTCCCCCAGCAGGTAAGATTGCGGATCCCTTTAGAGAAGTCATTTTAACCCCTTGGGGTAGGGGGGCAGGGTAGAATATCCTCTGTTTTAAATCTCATCACTTATCTTTCCCAGATAAAATCACAGTTATTCTATATACTAATCTTCATTTATCTACCTGAGAACAAAACCCATAAAAGCAAAGGATCTCATAAAAGCAACAAGCAAAACTGAAAATGACATCTCATAAACCACATTTCCAAGGATACTGTGTTTAAAAAAATGAATTATCAAGAAAATAGTAAATGCAAACTATTGTTGCTATTAACTGAATTATTGATTGAAACCTACTTAAAGGCAGTAGGTCCCCAAAAGACACAATTTATACGAACTTAATGCTATTTTTGGCGTACCGAAAGGTGTTGGTAATTCATGTGAATGCTCAGCAGTTCAGTGGAGAAGACCAAAAGCAGAAGGGGAAATTCAGTTTTTAAAAAATCCTCTCTCTATTTAGAATCCCCATCATTACCTCTGTTCTAGCACTCATCACATTGTTTATACTCACACCATTTGACTTACTGACTTGTGAGTTGTTTTTATTCCCAGGGTCTGTCATGTTTAGCTCTTAACATGCCTCTAAAAAAGTGCCTGTAGAATGAATGAACAAACATCTTTAGGAACGTGCTTTTTGACTAAAGCCAGTATTAATTTAATTAGACTACTTGATATTCTTTCACTTTAAGGTGCACTAGAGGAAACAGGTAGGCTCTTACTGATGGAAATGTATCTTTGAGTCTAAGTAAATGGCTGAATTCAGCATATCTGAAAGTGTGTTTAGTTCTCTTGTTTTTCTCAAGTGATGGTATATCTTTTGGGACTTTTCTAACTATTACTACAACCTGCCTACTTTTATCATTATAATTTTACTTTTAGAATTATAAATCTTATCTTTATAAAAGTATTAGTTAAATCAGCCCTTTAATTGAACTATTAATTTAGTAAATGAATTTGACTAATTAAATAGGTCCAATTAAGTGAGTTGTATTAATTTACAGTAGACCATTAAATCATACTTCTAATGAGAACTACAAAGGAAAAGTTACAGCATTTAGTGAAACAAAAATACCTTTGATTCTTGCAAAAGAACTTCTAGCAAAGGCAAAAATAGCTAGTGGATTAAACATAAGACAGAATTTATAAGCCTGTTTTTACCACCAGCTTTGAATACCTTAAAATCACTAATCTTTGCTGCAACAGTTTATATTTTCTGATTCACTTTTGACTTTATATATTTGCATATTTATGCATAACTAATACAAATTTGTTGGGGCTGACGTTGATAGATACAATATGCTTGGTATATGGTAAGCATTCAGATTTCATCAAATAAATTATAAACTTTTAAATAGTATAGGTGAAATGTTATGTCAGATAATGTCCATTAGGGTTTTAATAATTAATCTTCTTTTCATATCTGGATGGCTTGCCAAAATGACATTACTTTATTATATTTGAAAATAATGATTAAAAAAAATAATGATTTTTGAGCACTGTGCAGTCCCTACCTTCAGTTTTAGTTGTAAAAAAAACATATGAAACAATTAGTAGGTAATAGTAATATATGTGGTAAGTGTACATTTACAAGTATACTAGAAGCCCTTTGCAAGAAGATTCGCACAATAGGCCTCCCTTCCCCTGGCTGTTGGCACCTGTTTTCCTCCGGCACCCAGGACCTAGGCCTTTGGACCGGCCGCAGGGGAGAAGCCAAACCTCTTCAGTCTTCAGTCTTCGCTCTGTGCCTGCACATGCAAATTAACCGCCATCTTTGTTGGGTTAATTTGCATAGTCACTCCGATTGGCTGGTGGGTGTAGCAGAGTGACACCAATTTGCATGTTTCTCTTTTATTAGTGTAGATATTTGAGGGGGAGGGTAGGAGATGTTTTATAGAACAGTTAATTTTGAGTTGCCAAGATTTCAGTAGCTACAGGAGAAACAGAGTTTTTGGCAAAGGAAATGAACTTACCCATGTATGAGATTGAATGAGATTTGTGATGGATAAGAGTGGCAATGGAAAAAATAAAGCTATAGGGAATGAAGAAGGAAAGGAACATTACATAAGGCCTTGGGGAGCAGGTAGAAGAGACTAGACTTGATGCTGGAGGCAGTAAGGAGTCTTGGAGGTCTGGAGCAGAGGTTTACCAGAGGGAAAGCTGTGGCTGAGGCTTGTTTCACTGCACCATGTGGTGACTGCAGGGAAACAGCCAGGGAGCACCTATCCTTTCTGATTGTTACAGCGGAATGGATCACTGTGCATATCAAGAGTTCTCCGGTCTGATTCTCATTGCAGCTATGGAGTTCAATTGAAGTCCCACATATAGGTCAAGTTCATTAATTCTTCCAAGTGATCATCATTTGAGTCCAGAGTACAAACACCTCAACCATGCCTTGCAAGTAAAAAGTTCTACTACAACCAAATAATTCAGATAACTTTCAAGTTTAAAAAAAAATATATAGAATGACTCACAGCATATTCTAAGAAGTGAGCAGGAATCGGGTGAAAAGCAGATGAGAACATACTATGTATAAATATGCTGAAGCACCAAACACTCCAAGAGGAAGCTGAGAACATTCCTGGCATTACAAGACCAGGACTAAATTTTAATCTACTTGGAGGTGGCTAAGGATCCTATATAATAAAAGCCTAATATGCTAAGTGTCCGGTCGTCCATTCAACCAATCAAAGCGTAATATGCTAATGATATGCTAAGGCTGCTCAACCACTGGCTATGACATGCCCTGACCACCAGGGGGCAGACGCTCTGATCAGTAGGTTAGCTTGCTGCTAGGGTTGGCCAATTGGGACTGAGCGAGATGGGCCAGACACGCCCTGGGACCCTCCCATGGTCCTTCCCCAGCTGGCCAACCTTCCGCATCCCTCCCCAGCCCCGGATCGTGCACTGGTGGGGTCCCTCAGTCTGGCTTGCACCCTCTCGCAATCCGGGCTGAGGGACTCCCCTCCCCACCCCCAAGTGCACAAATTTCGTGCACCAGGCCTCTAGTATCAAATAAAAGGAAAATATGACCATTTCAAATGGTGTCTTAAGACACTATGGCTACATGTTACTTTAGCCCATCATAAACAATCTGGAATTCCCTCCCTCAGACATTCCAACCTCAGTCATTTAACAAACAAAAGGAGCATTTTTGGGGCTCCAGTGTGCAGAGGACACATCTATCCTAGGCACAGCAGCAAGCTGGAGCAAGACTGTGTACCATAGGCTCCTCTGACATTAAAAAGAACAAGCTGATTAGATATAAACAAATGGTGTTCACACAGGAGTTTAAAAACCCTTGTGAAAATACACATCTGCTGACAATTTCCAAGTTGTTTATTGTAAATCACAGATTTATTTTTTTTTTTTTTAAAAAAACCCACTAATTATTTTAACATATAAGCAAAATTCAAATAATATAAATAGTTAACATTTTGGTATCAAATTAATAATATGAAAGAAAAAAAAGATGCGAATCAGCCAAGAGGTAAAACGTTTTTAGCAATAACACTGTGTACAACCGTCTTCTACTCAAGTGACCGCCCAGGCTGATTGTTTATTTTCCCTTCGTTTATGAGTTTTCAGACAGCCCTGCATTGGAGCACCAAAGTTGTACCTTCCTTTTTAAAAGGCGGGAATCCTTATATTGTATTTACAAATAGTCTTCTCAGTACTTTAAGTCTGATGAAAGAAGCATCTGGCAATTTCCTTCTTATTCAAAAAGGAAGGGCCTTCATATTTCCTGCAAATTTAAATCTGTTCTATTCTCAGCAAAAAGGAAAAAGATGAACACAGTTGAGGAGAGCTCTTTCACAAATAAATAACTGTTTCACAGAAGTATTGCTGTAAACAAACGAGATAGTTTCAATGGCCAGGGAGATGCTGATATTTTCAACCAGTGAAAAATTTAGACAGTTACAAGTATGCTACACAGGGTGTGTATGGCCAAAAGGCAAGCTGTTATATAAAGACGCAACTAATGAAAATTAATTATACATCTGCTTTATCAAACTGTGCTTTTATTCTCCCCAGTTTTTTAAATTGGTCACAAATTTCAAGCTGTAATCTAAAAACCCCGAATCTACTCTGAAGGGAACTATAAACTACAATGGTTGACACTGTAGTTTTGACATTAGTTAAGAATTCTGAATTATCTCAGCAATCAACATAAACAAGCCTCAATGTTCAAAATAGAGAAAAAGATTTCTGTAAATATTAAAAAGCTACCTGCAAAAAATAATTGTATATGCCATCATCTAGTTGTGTTTACTGAGGATTCTTTTTTTAGTTTTCTTTTGTTTTCCATGTTTCAAACATCATCTAAGTACACGAGAGACTCTTCGTTTTCCCTAACAAGCACCTCTGCAGACAGATTCTATAATCAGTACAACTACTTTTGCTGAGGTCGCTATTTTGGCTTTCAGATGATCCCCCTAATAATAGGCATCACCCCGTTCTTTCTGCAGTGAGGGGAAGCTGTTAGCACCATGGCCACCTTTCTATCCTGCTTTGTAAAAGAAATGACACTCCCTCTGTTCTATCTCAGCCACATCTCCTTGATTATAAGGGACATATGGCTTTACAAATGCTTTCAATCTCATTCTGACAACTTTCATTCTGACTTCAAGTTTGAAATACTTAAAAGTCAAAGATACATCTAATGGTTGTTTTGATGAAATCGATTTTTTGAAGTTACTGTAGTTTTGGTGTGACGTTTAATACTCTCAATTTTAAAATCTGAAACTGGAACAAAATACTGTGGTTTATGAGACCTGTTGGGGAGGAGGAGGCTAATTTTAGTAACCATTACAATAATTTAGATATTAAAAATTTTATTTTATAATTTATAGAGAAAAGTTTTTAATATTCTACCTTTCCTTTTGAAGTCTTCATTATATTATGCCTCTATGCAAACTACATTCAAATAACTACCTTAAAAACAGACCGATATTGAATATTTAAGAACCAGTTGAAAAATTCATTGAATTAAAATTAATATCAGCTTATTTGAATAAACAATGATTTCTTCGTACAGAAGGACCCTATGGGTAGCAAGCTGCCATGTTTTATGTCATTTTCTAATGATAAATATATAGAGAGTACCAGTTAGGGCAGAGCTAATGACTTCTCCAATTTTACATTAAACTTTGGAAAAAGACATAAATATGTTTTAAATGGCCCCAATACTATCTACATGGATGTGACAATAGTGATTTGGCTGTTTATAAAGAAATTGTGTACAGGAAGTCCTCATTTAACATTATCGGTAAGTTGGAACTGCAGTGGAACAATGTATAATGAAAAATTTTTACAATGGGCTAATTGATATAAACAAGAGTCAAGTTCCTACAAAATCTTATCAATGCTGTAACAAAATGATGCTTGACAAAACCAGGTTATCTGAGGACCTGCTATACATTTTCCTAAATCTCCTCTGAAAAATATGAGGCTTGCCTTTACCAGATGCAGTACTTTCTCTTATGCCAATCCTCCACTGCCCCCACCATTTCCATCAAGTGCTCTTTACTAAAAATTAACTTGTATACCTAGTTTAACAATATATTCCTTTCTTTGAAATGGTATACTCTACACTCGGTTGGTACTTTCCAGTGCAGTTCTTCTACTAACACTGTGGTTCCTTAATAACTTCTTTATGCTGCAGATATGTGTGGCATTGAGAACTTGAATTCCCCTTTAGTTTTGTTTTCACAAACCTTTTCTAAATATAAATTCCTTGAAATGGATTTAGGCAATGAAGTAGATAAGTTATACTGAATAGCTTCTACAATCAAAGAAAAATTCTGAGAGACTGCACTTTCAAAATATTTCTTTGCTTTGTTCATATTCATCTTTCACTTAAGGTATAGACAAACATTTAAAGGTTTTTCATCCAGGTTTGGCTCAGTGACAGTGGAAACATACAACATTCAAGTACTATTAGACAAAGGCAGCCCTACAGGGATATGTGTCCACATAGGTCAACTTGCAAAGGAGAACTATTTTCATTATCCTGCAGTATACCTGGCCAAAAAAACCATTTGCAACTGTTTTCACTTTAGGGTCTGTGGCATCCTCCCAAAGGTCCTGAAGATCTTGAACATGTCCATGAGATGTCATCATTTTATTGTAGATGCAGGGATGATAAGGAGTTTTCCCTTCCCCAGAGAAAAACACATGGTCTTGTGGTACTATCCCCATTTTATTGGCACAGAGGCCCATGAACACATCATCAATGTAAAGACTAGAGTTGAGTGTCTGTGAGGCCTCATAGACTTTGGCAGCTACATCACTAGAGATCACGTAAGCAGCCCCAGCAGTGTAGTCAGGGTAAGCTGGCCACTGGTACATTTCATAGGAGACATAGTATTTGCTGTGTTTGTTTCTAACGGGAGGGGCACCACGGTGAACACGACCAATCCAAAAGTCTTGAACACCCATCTGTTCTAAACTTTGGAGGTATTCAATAAGGTTTGGCATGTGAATAAATATGTCATCATCAGCAGTCATAAGGAATTTAGCATGTGGACAAAAGGTATTTGCCCAACTGAATTGCATACGTAATTTAAGAGTCAGATTGTAGAAAGAATCAGCAAAGTCTTGCTGAATGATATCATTGTATATCTGGTCTTCCCAAACCAATTTCCTTTGCAGTTTTTCTCTCGTTAGTGGGTTCGAAGGCGTTCCTAAGGCAAACAGAGTTTTGATGTTGGCATTAAGTTGAGACCGAACATACTTCTCATTGCCCCACGTTTTCCTGATTGTAGAACGCCGGTCATAGTTTTCAGGAGCAGTCTTTACAAACAGTAAAAGGAGGACATCCTGTGCTTGGCACTTCTCCTTGTGGTTAATCCAGTACTGGTAGCGAGGAGCCCCATCCTCGCTGCGCTTGAGAGACAGGCTCTCATTCACAAAGTCGTAGCTGTTTATGAGGTATCTGTAAGAGTAGGATTTCATATGGCTCACAATGTGGTTATCAAATGGTTCCCAAAAAAACATGAGGCTCAGTATGAAACAAGTGGCAAATAACTGGACAAACTGCCATTTTTTCACTCTTCTGCCACTAACAAACATTCTGACGTCCGTTCTTAGTTAGGCTCCGTGTAAAATGGGCATTTGCTTCTTCGAGACCGCAGAGCTTCGTACTCTGTAGAACCGATGTTCATCTTAAGACAGGCTGGTCGTTACAAATGTAAAAGGAGCTTCTTATGTCACAAAATGTTTTCTTTGAAGACCATTTTTGCTGAGCTTGCAAAAGAATGGAACACCCTATAGAATGAGGACACTGGCACATTAGTATGTTCCCACGCCGGCATCCTTCATCGAGTTCGGTGGCTGGCTTCGAGCAGGTATCCCATGTACTTCCTTCTGCAGAAGTTAAGTGTAGCCTATTAGAGTTGAGACAAGGAAAGATGACAAGTGAATGGGTTGCCGAAAGGAATAAACTACTCATAATTCCTTACAAACTGAATGTAATTGGACTGACCTGGATAGGGCAACGAGGCAGCAAGCACTTAGAGAGACATACAGCTGCCTATTTCTTTAAAGGGGAGTAGAGGGGAAAAGAAAGAAGCACTCTCTACTTTCTTCCCATTCAGAATACAGAGACCCTTTTCTCTCCTCAACCTTAAAAAAAATAAAAAATAAAAGCCCTCTAAAATGGCTATCATCATATATACTTAAAAGTTTAAATCTCTCAAATGGGTCCATCAAAGACTATATTGATTTGAAATAGAGTCAGGATGAAATAACTATACAGTTCAAGGCAAAATAGATGAATGATGACAGCAAGTTCATAACAGTACAGATCCAATAAAGCTTGCCCAGACACACTGAAGGAATTGGAGGCTTACCACAAAGTAACAGAGATTTCTTATCTGCAGATGTTTAAGACAGCATGTGTTCAAGAATTCTGAGAAAAGCCCTAGCCGGTTTGGCTCAGTGGATAGAGCATCCGGTCCCAGGTTCACTGCGATCAAGGGCACATGCCAGGTTGTGGGCTCGATCTCCAGTAGGGGGCGTGCGGGAGGCAGCCAATCAATGAGTCTCTCTCATCATAGATGTTTTCATCTCCCGCTCCCTTCCTCTCTGAAATCAATAAAAATACATTTGGGGAAAAAAAAAAAAATTCAGAGAAAATTCTCAGTTGAATCTAAACTGCAGTGTCTATTCCTAATGACCCTGGGAAGGAAACAACGGAGTAAGCTTCGGAACCACAGGCACAGACTAGCTTCCCATATCTGAGCAGCTGTGCTTAGTGCGTTCCAGGGCTAGCTGCCTCGGCCCACATTCACAGTGGTTTACAAGTCTGATCTTCTTGCTAGACAATCCGCCCACAAGCCTAACTCCTCAGCTTCCTCATGTACACTTGACTCTCAGTTGCCCTGGTATCTCTCCAATGAACTGCGATCTATTACTCATCCAGTGGGTGTGTTGCTGCTAACGTCACTACAACCTAGCAGCCAGCCCACAACATTTATTTTATCTCCCACCCTCGCACCACATATGTATTTACCTTAATTTCCCATAGTTCTTCCAACTGACCTCAAAGAGTCAGAACAGTTTTATGAAAGATGACAAAGAACCTGTCATGAAGCTAATGACCCATGCTGCTTATTTAGGTTCTGGACCGCAAGTAAAGCCCTAAAACAAGATTTCTTCACCTGTACGGGCTCGAATTGTTTACCCACCATTTATATCCATCAGAAATACATGCCAGGGATAGTCCTGATTGGATGAGGGGAAGATCTGGGAAAGGTAAACTACTCTTTTAGAGTACCCAGCTTCTTCTAACAAAAGAACACCTGAACTCCTCCAAACTGAACATAGTCACCAGGCGGCCTTTCCCAACCAAAAGCAAGAGCACCTCCGGGATCTAAATTCATTAATTACAACGAGACCATGTTGCCCCCAACTCTGGCTTTGCGAACGGAGACCACGCACATGCAATTGCCCCCCACTCTTCTGACTCGCAGTCTCACAGCTTTTCCAGAGCACATCTTCTAGCTTCCGTATTCAACCTGCAGGAAAGGGAACCAAGCAGAAGCCCACGGGCCTGCCCGGCCTGGGGAAAGAACACGCAGGGCCTTCCAGGAAACAAAGCCATCCCCACAATGCTTGCAAAGCTCAGCACGACCACACAGAATGCTGTGGGTGCAGCTTCCTTTGTGTGCCCACAGCTCGGTGCAGTGACCAATCCACAGGCGGGAAACTCCAGGGCTACCCAGCTTTGGGGCCAGATTTATCATGTAACCTCAAACACCCCTCAGTGCACTCTGACTTGGTGACTTCATCTGCAAATGGGAGGTGATATCAATGTATGGTTAGTTGAGGGCATAGAGAAGTAACAGGTGACTCAGAGCCTGCTGGAAATGGGAAACAGGAAAGACCTTAGGGAGCACAGGGCAAAGAACTGCTTAAAGGAAAATATTCAAATATTCAGGATGCAACTTGGGTTTGCTTCTGTTGGGATGGAGAAGGAACAGATATCCTTAATATTCTCTTCCCTAATAGACAGGAGTAGTCAGAGGAAGAAGGAACAGAAGTAGGAGCATCAGAAGTAGGAGCATCACCCCAAATACCTTTTAGTCTGGGAGCTATGCCCCTCAATTACTCTTAACTGCGGGCACAGCTCCTTAAACTTTGCTGGAAAAACCCAGTTAGTGCATGTACAGGCAACCAGGTTCCCTAAACTACCCCCGATTTTATCCTGCTTCACCCAGGCCATCAATTCATTTCTTTGTTGAGTCTCCTTTTGTGATCCTAAAATACCATGCAAACCTGCTATACATTTTGATGCTATACATCAAGATGGTGAGGTGTGCACTTTAAGTTCAACAATCTCGGTGTCCAATGTTTCAATGAATCCTCCAAGTATCTGAGTCCTCGCTGTGGAAATAGTTGTGCCAGGCCCAGTGGGAGTCGTGAAGTAGTATTTTATAGTCTCCAGTCTGAGAGCATCTACAATATGGTTGAGACAAGACCCACGGTGCCCACATGAAAGCAGAGCTCCCAGGGGTGACAATCAACACGCCACAGAAGGTACAGACCGTGTGTCAGCCCGACTTTGGGCGGCACCAGCTCCAGGCAGTCAGACTGTTCCTGGGAGGAGAGCTAGTGACAGCTGGTCAGAGGGCCTGAGGACGAGCAGGAGGTAGGTGGCTGCAGGAAGGGAGGCAGTCTATTTCAGGCAAGAAAGGAAAGAATCGCCCTAGCTGGTTTGGCTCAGTGGATAGAGCATCACCCTGCAGACTGAAGGGTCCCGGGTTTGATTCTGGTCAAGGGCACATGCCCAGGTTGCGGGCTCAATCCCCAGTGTGGGGCGTGCAGGAGGAGCCGATCAACGATTCTGTCTCATCATTGATGTTTCTCTCTTTCTCCCTCTCCCTTCCTCTCTGAAACCAATAAAAATATATATTTTTAAAAATGTTTAAAAAGAAAGAATCAAAGTGTGGCCAATATTGGAGAAACAGGGATGAATTTGAAAGCAGGGAGGTTGGGGCCTGCATAAGCAGAACCTTGATAATAACAGGGCAGCAGGAAGTCACAGGAGATTGTATTGTTATTACTAGCTCCCTTGTCAAAATGAATTAAGCTTTTTGCAATATTCGGATTGAGAAGGAACAGATTCCTTAATATTCTCGTGATCTGGCAATGGCATGAGGTTGTGGTGAAGATGAGTGTACTGGAGAGTATGTGTAGTAGAATTTAGAATTTAGAGGAAATGAAGTTCCAAGTGAAGCCACACACAGGCCTTTCTTGCTGATAACTGTCCGTGTGTAGCTGATAATTGTCTTAATATTCGGATTGATCTGGCAATGGCATGCGGGACGGTCGCAGAGGCCTGGAGACCAGGACACTGGTTCATCGGGGCCTCGTGCTGACACAGCACAAGGTGGAGAGGACCCAGCCTGCGTGGTGGGAGTGGAGGGGGGGCGGGGGGGGGGGATAAAGAAGACCCTTTCAAGGAAAACAGAAACCAGCAGTACCTGCTGAGTGACCTGCGATGGGGGTCAGGAGGAGGAGGAGGGGTGGGATCTAGTTTCAAGCATTGCTGACAGAGGAGGGAAACTGGTTTCATTAGTTAACGTGAGGGGGGAACGTGTTCGGTTTTAGATTTGTATTGAGTGTGAGGTGCTGGGGACACAGCGGGTAGAGAAGTCCCGCAGGTCATGAGATGGAGGCACGCAGGACTGAAGATGCGGTGGGCGCTCTGAGCATAAAGAAGACACTCAGAAGCTTAAGGAAGCCTTATTTTGTGATGTATGCACCACTGTGTTCACATTTCCTTCCCGCTACACACTTTCTTTATGTGGCTTCGCTTGGAACTTTATCCCCTCTAAATTCTAAACTCAAGTACACATACTCTCCAGTACACTCATCTTCAACCACCACCTCTCTATATTCATTTAGAACACTCTGCCCCCCTCTCCCTGCCCCCAACCCCCTCACCCCACCCAGCGAGCTCCTGATCCACCTCCCTGCCTTGGATGAGGAACCATCTGGCACCTTCGCCCTCCTCTCCTTGGTTCCCATCCTTCCACCCCAACAGCCCCAGACCTCAGGTCACCCCGTCTTCTCTGCTCCTACAACACCCGCCAGGCTGCTGGGGAAGGTGTGACACCCACAGGCAGCATCCCTGCCAATGGCCATACCCAGCTGTGGGCAGGGCACTCCATGCTGTGTGACTGTCCTTCACTTGTCCCGACCTTCTCTCTCTCCCAGTCTCTTCACCAGCCATGCTAAGTCTCCCCTCTCTGAGGACTGTCTTCCTCACTCTTAGCTGATGTGTTTACTTCCTGCCTCATTGAGATAGAAGAAGAGTCACACATTGTCAGCTTCTCATTCCCATGTGTGTCTCAGATTCCCAGGCTCCTGCCCTCTCCACTCCCTGAGGCATACTGAAGGTCAGGGCCAGGATCATTGAAAAGTGATGCAAGTATGATTATGAACTAATAATGCTCCTTCAGAAAGTTACAATTTTTCTTAAAAAGCCTAAGTACTATGTACCTTTTACATTTAAACTTTTAGGCCAAAGTCCCAGTGAAACACAATTTTTGTTTCCTGTCCGGGCATAACACAAAAGGAAAAATGTTGATATTTTCTGTCCTATCTTTACATTTTGTTTTACATTTCAAGAATTTTTACCTGGCTTGTCTGATCATCTCCTCCCTGTTAAACATAGCTAGGACCAATCCTCAGGAGCCAAACTGCCATGTTAAAAGAAATCAGGAATAAAAAGCCCTGAATTTACTGGAAAGGCTATAATTTGATTCCCATAGATTTTTCTTATCACATTAGTTGTAGTAACTTGTGCTGAGAAACACAACTGGTTTCTGTTTAGTACTCTTTACCTATTTTATTTGCTCAAGAAGGAAGGAAGCAATCTGAAATTTGAATACACAACTCACATACTCTCTCACTTTTATTTTATTATTTAATCAAATTGGGTGTTGCCCTGGCTGGTGTGGCTGAGTTGGTTAGAGCATCATCCGTACACCACAAGGTGGTGGGTTCGAGTCCAGGTTGGTGCCCATACCCAGGTTGCGGGTTTGATCCCCAATCAGGGCGCGTGCAGGAGGCCTCTCTCTCTCTCTCTCTCTCTCTCTCTCAAAGCAATAAAATAATTGTTTTCAACATAAGGCCTGTAAAAAATTCTACCCAACAGTTATTTTTAGGTGTTTGTGTGGCTGTAAGTAGCTATGAAACTTTTGCTCAAACCTTGGACAAAGATTAGAAGTTATTTGGAGTTGTTATCCCTCCACAAAGAATACATTTAAAGAGTTAATTCTTGATTCAGTGTTGGTCGAAAGTCTTTCAATGCCAACACAGCAAGCATGGATGTGGGACAGAGAAAGAGCAAGGTTATAAAACCAACCAGTAATAAGCCTCATCCATGTAAACTAAGTTATATGCTTCTTTATAAGTCACACAAAGGTATAGATTTCTGTTTGCTGGTTATGGGAAAAATAAAGACAGGGAAATACCAAGTGAACAAACAAACAAAGACAGGACCTAAGTAAAGACAGGTGCTAAGGAAACTGGTAACACAGGACTACAGAGCAGATATTATATTCCAGGAGTTATATTAAAAGTCATTAAAAATTTCCAGTAACGAGTCTGAGTATACAGAATTTGAAACAAACAAAGAAGCTCAACTATAAAGTAGGCCTTGTAAAGGTCAACCTTTTGCCTTTCTAAGCTTGGCCTTCTGTATTCACTCTTGAGCACAGCTGTTGGTTGACAGGGCTGTTTGCTCTTTTAGACACAGTTCTTGTTTTGTGCTCACCCACTTAAGGAGCAAACTTCTCTGTTGCCCACTCTAGCAACAGTCACTAACATGGGTGTGTGTACTGCACAGCGGGCACGTTCGGAATGCCTGACACATGTACTGACCCTCTACCTCTCACAACAACCTATGAGGGAGAAATCATCTCCCCATTTTGCAGAAGAAGAAACTGAAGTCCCGAGACTTGGGGTTCACCACATAACCTCATAAATTCCAGCTGAGGCCCTGGTCCCTCCCTGAGGTCCTCCCCTGCCCTTCCTTCCCAGCCCTGGCAAGGCTGCCCTTCCAGGAGCTCCCATCAGGATGGGAGGGCAGGGGAGCAGGTGGGGCAGGGCCAAGAGAAGTGACTCAAGAAAGCAAAGAACCTGCTTCACTGTGTGAAGTTTGGAGTCACTTATGTTTTGCTCCCTCCCGCCTGCGTCTTGTCCGAGCTTGTTCTCATTTTCTTTGTAACACCCCTTTCCTGACCCTCCATCTCTACTTTTCCTCCTTCCTTTTCTTCATCCCAGAGCACCCAGGGACCTCGTGAGTCCGGGTCCTTTGTGGGTGTATAAAGCCTTTCCTCCACAAAAAAGATTAGGGTATTTAAGGGAGGGGAGCCAAAATGGCAAAGGAGGTTAAAAAAAAAAAAAGAAGTGAGAAGGAGGGAAGGAGAAAAAGTATAGGACTCAGAGGGCACGATTTAAGCAAGTATTTGCTGAATAAGTATTGGATGAAATGAACGAGTCATACAAAGCTGAGGTCAAATTCTGATATGAAAACTAGTGATTTAGAAATAAGTTGACAATCTAACCCCATATAAACCTATTATATAAACTATACATATAAGCCTGTTGTCCGAAGGCAGTTCATGTGCCCTGTTCTGGACATTATATTTGGGAAACAACATTTGATTGAAGGTCTACAGAGTACAAAAATAATGGTGTAAAACACAATGTATATATATAATACATTTCTGTCTCAGCTAGTCAACACTTATTATAATAAGTTAACTACCATTTATTAAGCACCTACCCTGCTTCAGGCATTATGCTGGGCAGCCCTGGAAGTAGATAATGCCTACAGTTAATTAATTCAACAAATATTAATTTCCTCACCTACTATGTGGTAGGTGGGATGCCGGGAAGGCTTCAGTGATGCTTCCAGCGTGTATCCATTACCAGAGCGAGTAAACGTTCTGGTGCAGCCTGGACTCCACCTGATGGAGGCAAGAGAGTGAAGCAACCAAGAGTTTCAGAATATGAACAAAAGTGGTGCTTCCACTTACTGGTCACATGAGCTTGACTTGTCTCCAAACCGTATACTACACCGTGTTTTCTGAAGATCCTTTGAGATAATTTATTGCCAAAAAATGGTGCAGATCAGGTGTTCAGTGTACGCTAATTTCCTTTCTCTAGAAATTGTTCATGGGTCTTTACTGTGATGGTATAGACAGAAGATGGCTGATAGTCTTTGGGATTATTTTCCTTTAAAAACGATGAGATAAACTCCTAATATTCTTCTAGCAAAATAATCACTAGATATGAGTTTTTTAAAATACTGATCTGATTGCTAAAGGCACTTACTACTAACATCTAACCCCGGTCTTCTATTGTCCTTGACAGGAAAGAACAATATGGTTTCCACAAGCCCTTAAAAAATACATTTTAACGATGATGGCAAAGCCAAAGGTTCTAAGACCCTGTACATTATGGAGGAAACCTGATTTCAGTCAACCTTTTAACATACTTTGTCTAGAGAACTATCAGAAAGTTGTAGAAAGAATTAGAGGAAAGGAATAAAATACGAAATGTGAAATCTTAGGTGGATCTTAAGCTGTGTAATAGTATTTTGAACTGGGAAGCTTATTACCTGCAGAATTGGTAGAACATTCATTCCTTTCTGTAGAAAACTGGCTTCTGAGAGTGTCAAAGCCTTCACTATGGACGATAATCGTAAAAATTTCAGATCAAAGTCAGCCTCTGAAATTCCGGCATTAAAATGTAAAAAATCACTTTTGTTTATTCAGAGTGTGATTATCTTGCCCTGGCTGGGTGGCTCAGTTGGTTGAAGCATCAACCTGTACACCAAAAAGGCTGCAGGTTCGATTCCCAGTCAGGCCACATACCTAGGTTGCAGGTTCGATCCCTGGTCAGGATACGTAGTTCGGTGCATACAGTTGGGACGCCTATTGGAGGCCACCAGTCCATGTTTCTCTCTTCCATTCTCTCTTTAAAATCAATAAAAACATATCCTCAGTTGAGGATTTAAAAAAAAGTTTGGTCATCTCACTAGACCAATTTTCTTATCTTTAAACATGATAAGATACTTATACCTATGTACGAGGCGGGACAAAAGTAGGTTTACAGTTGTAAATACAAGAAACAGAGTTTAGTCTTGTATTATTATTTATTAAGTATTTTATTATTTTTTATACAAACAATTGTAAACCTTTTGCCTCACCCTGTGTATGCATACTGTGATCGTCTAGATCAGCGGTTCTCAACCTGTGGGTCGCGACCCCTTTGGGGGTCAAACGACCCTTTCACAGGGG